CTCCCTGGGCAGTTCCAATCCCTGAGCACCCTTTCCATGGGGAAATTCCTGCTCATGTCCACTCTGCCCTTCCCTGGCAAGTGTGGGGAGAGCGCAGGAACAGCGTGAGGATGCCCGGTCTGCCCGCTTGGCGCATGTAGGGCCATGGGTAGGGAGCAGATAAAAGTGATTAAAGTGCATTTTAAATAAAGAAATTAAAAGGAGTGAAAAATGACAGGGTTTTAAATAGAGGAATGTAAAATAAAGCGATTAAAAGTGAGTTTAAAAGGTTGAAAGTAAAGAAGCTAAGAGCGGAGTGGTAAGGTGCTGGCGGGCACTGGGAACAGGGGCATTGGTGTGGGGAGATGACAATAAAGGTGTGACAATAAAGGTTTGAAAAGAAAGGAATTTAAAATTAAGGAATTAAAATGAAAAAAAAAAAGTTAAAGTGGTTAAAACCGCAGTGATAAGGGATATGGGGGTCAGGGATATGCGGGCATCAGGAATGGGGGCAGCAGGGCTGAGGAATGAAAATAAAGGGAGTTAAAATAAAGGAATTAAAAGTAAAGGAGCTCAAATAGAGTTTAAAATGAAGGAGTTTAAAATTAAAGGCTTAAAAATGAAGGAATGGAAAGCAAAGGTATTAAAGTTGGAATGGAAAGCGACATGTGGGCATCGGGAACAACGCACCGGGGCGGGGAAATAAAAATAAAATACATGGATTCAAATAAAGAAACTAAAAGTAATTGAGAGTAAAGAAATTAATATTAATTAATAAATTAATAATGGATTAAAAATAAAGGAGTTGAAATAATTAAAAGTGAAGGGTTTAAAAGCAGAGTGAAAAGGGATATGCGGGGGCCAGGAACATGCTTTCCTCCCCCCAATGCATTGGGTGAGGAAAATAAAAATAAAGGAATTAAAATAGAGGAGTTAAAGGAGTTGAAAGAAAAGGGTTTAAACTAAAGGAATGCAAAACGAAGGAGTTAAAAATAAAGGAATTAAACATAAAGGGATTGAAAGTAAAGGGATTGAAAGTAAAGAGATTAAAAGCAGGGTGAAAAGGTCCATGTGGGCAGCGAGAGAGGGAGGGGGAAAATTAAAATAAAGGAGTTAAACTTTTGGAGTTAAACGAAGGTGATTAAAAGTCAAGGAAGTA